TTTTTTTTTTTTTTTTTTTAAGAAGATGTTGGGGGTAGGAGTTTAGTAATTTATTTATTTATTTTTGCTGTGTTGGGTCTTCGTTTCCTTGCGTGGGCTTACTCTAGTTGTGGCAAGTGGGGGCCACTCTTCATCGCGGTGCGCACGCCTCTTACTATCGCGGCCTCTCTCGTTGCGGAGCACAGGCTCCAGACGCGCAGGCTCAGTAGTTGTGGCTCATGGGCCTAGTTGCTCCGCGGCATGTGGGATCCTCCCAGACCAAGGCTCGAACCCGTGTCCCTTGCATTAGCAGGCAGATTCCCAAGCACTGTGCCACCAGGGAAGACCCAAGAGTTCTTTCTTTTTGTGTTATTAAAAACATATAACATTAAATTGTGTTATTAAAAACATATTACATTTACTGTTTTGTTTTGAGTGTCCAGTTCCTTAGTGTCAGATATATTCAGATATATTCAGATATATATATATTCAGATATATTCACATTGTGAGATAGATCTTGAGAACTTTGTCATCTCAAAACTTAAACTCTCTACCTGCCAAATGCTAATCTCCCCACCTCGACCCTTCATAACCACCTTTCTTCTTCCTTCCTTCCCTCCTTCCTTCCCTCCTTCCTTCCTTCCTTCCTTCCCTCCTTCCCCTCTCTCTCTCTCCCCCCCTTCCTTTTCATTCTATTTATTTTATTGAAGTGTAGTTGACTTAAAGTGTCGTGTTACTTCCTGCTGTACAGCAAAGGGACTCAGTTATACATATATATACATTCTTTTCCATATTCTTTTCCATTATGGTTTATCACAGGATATTGAATATAGTTCCCTGTGCTATACAGTAGGACCTTGTTTATCCATCCTATATATCATAGTTTGCATCTGCTAATCTACTTTGCTTGTATGATTTTGACTGCTTTAGGTACTTCCTATGGATGGAATCATACAGTGTTTGTCCTTTTGTGACTGGCTCATTTTGCTCAGCACAGTGTCTTCGAGGTTCATCCATGTTACAGCATGTGACAGGATCTCCTTTTCAGAGGCTGAATAGTATTCCATGGCCTGGATATTCCACATTTTCTGCATCCATTCATCTGTCCCCTTCCTACTTATTCTTGAGCTCACTACTGAAAGCCTTTCAGCTAGAAATTTGTGTGAGGATTCATATCTTCTAGAACTCTGCTCTCCAGTAGAAGTGGGAAGCAACCCACACATGTCAGCCTCAGATGTAATTTTAAGTTTTCTAGTAGCCGCATTAAAAAAGGGAAAATCCTCTGAATGATATAGTTTCCTTAATCCATTATATACAAAATATTGCAGCATGTAGTGATATTAAAACATGTACACTGGGCTTCCCTGGTGGCACAGTGGTTGAGAGTCCGCCTGCCGATGCAGGGGACACGGGGTTGTGCCCCGGTCCGGGAGGATCCCACATGCCGCGGAGCGGCTGGGCCCGTGAGCCATGGCCGCTGAGCCTGCGCATCTGGAGCCTGTGCTCTGCAACGGGAGAGGCCACAACAGTGAGAGGCCCGCATACCACACACACAAAAGTAATGTACACTGCTTCAGTTTTTAAATGAATTAAACTTAAGTAAAATTTATAATTAATTTCCCAGTCACAGCAACCACGTTTCAAGTGCTCACCGGGCACATGTGGGGAGCAGCTCCCACGTTGGACAGTGCTGGTCTCGAAGTTGGAGTTCCCTTGCCATTTTCACGTTCTAAAACTATAATCTAAAGGAAATGAGTGTGAAGTTGTTGGTTTCTTACACTCAGATCTTTACTGTGATGCTGGAGGAGCTGCAGTATAGTTAAGACCCAAATAAAAATTAACTTCAAAAGGCTTCGCTGTTTTTTCTTTAAACATGAATTTGCGAGTCACCACGAACAGTGTGGTGGTTATGCCCTTTGATAGGTATTTATTTGAGAAAAAAAAGTTTATAGTTTTTATCTTGTTTTCTTGTAAAAGTAGTACAAATTCCCCTTAGGAAAATCAGCAAATGAGATGATTAAATAGGGAGACAATTAACAGTCCGGGGTAAATACATTAATACCTGGGCAGATGAACCCGAGACCTTTTGGTTTGCATTTATTATGTTATATTGAATCTAAGATGCTAATGATTGTCCGATACCCCATTATCTTCTGTACCCCAAGAAAGAAAAAAACACCATCAATTTTAATCGTAGATGCATTCCAAATTCAGTGATGTTAAAAAATACATATATAAGTGCACCTTAGGACAGACAAAACACAGAATAAAATGAAACGTTTATATGTTTTGAAAAATGGATAAAAATATCCATTCAGTGTGACCCGATTTTTTTTCCTGTTTAGGAGATGGTCCCCATCTTTTTCCATGGATAAATTGGGCCATCTCTCCCCCGTTCCTTCTCCTTTCAGGCCGTGAAAGCCAGCACGGAGGCCACCGAGCTGCTGCAGAACATCCGTCAGGCGAAGGAGCGGGCCGAGCGCGAGCTGGAGAAGCTGCACAACCGCGAGGACTCTTCCGAAGGCATCAAGAAGAAGCTGGTGGAAGCCGAGGTGAGCAGGGGACCTCCAGCTCCCGGCTCCCGAGGTGCCCGGCCTCTGGCTGTGCAGGGGATTAAACCTCGGGACTGCCCTCTCTCTGCTCCTGTTCATCCAAACTGCTTTCCCTTCCGCCAGTTCCTTTGAAACCCGAGAGGCTCGGGACCATTTTCCCCAAAGGGGAGAAGGATTTGTCACAGCAGCTCCGAGTAGGAAGATGTTTTGATAAAACCTTTCCTTCCTGTTTGTTTTCCTCTGACCCGTTCGCCCGTGTGGGAGGATTCACGTTTATGTAGATGAACTGTGATGCCACCGCTGAGGTTTCCTTTTTCTTCCCTCTGTACCCTTGCTTTTCCTCACCTTCTCCCCAACGGTGTTAATAATAATATTAATTTTCGAGGCTGCAGCTGGGACCTGTGTGTGTTGATAACTCCCAGATCTACGTTTTTGGGCCTCTTCTCTCTGTCCAATTCTTTGTTGTTGTTGTTGTTGAAACCAATTATATAATTATACAGGAAACACACGAGTGTTTTCTCATTGTGAAAAACATAGAACTGAAGAATACAGAATAAAAAGGGACGTTTCCCCTCTGCTGCCCTCCACCTCCCCTGACACCTGGGTGATGGGTCCATGGAACGGATGTGTCATAGTTGACTTAACCACCCCCTGTCCTGGGCCTTCTGCTTCTCCGTCGCAGTGCTGGCGTTGAACCTACTTGCCTACGTCTCTTTGGGGCCAGCCTCACCCACGATCCAGGAAGTATTTCCCACTGCTCCCCTGACATCTTGACTGGGTGTCTGAACAGTGCCTCCGATCTAGAAAGAACTCAGTATCTTCCCCGACAAGCTGGGTGGCCTTCTCAGTCTTCCTCGCACTGGTCAGGGCCCCCATTCATCCATCTGGTCACCCCAGGCTTGACACCTTGGCATCATCTGCTGCTTCTCCCTGGGCCCTGCCATTCCGAGAGTCCCTCAGCCCTGTAAATACACCCACACTGTCTCCACCGTCCACCCTCTGCTGGCCATTTCTGCAGGCCTCCCCACAGTGTAGACCCTCTTCCTCTTAGCTGGGTGAATGTAGTAATTTCTCGGCTTTCTGCTTCCAGGCTCACCTTCCTCCCATCTAGCTCAAACGAGGTCAGACTCGTGGACCTCAGACTCCAGGCTCATCAGCACCCCTTGCCCCATCCCAAACCTTTCAGGGCTTCCCTACATCTTAGGTGCATGAGACTCTCAGCCATTTGCCCCACACATGCTCCCCTTTCCCGTTTTCTCCAGCTCCTCTGCTATTACACCTTATGCAGTAGCCCCTCTACGCTCCACCTGGGGCCTACGCTGGCTCTCGGCCACCTCCGCACTGCTGCTGCTGTGCCTTTTTTTTTCGGTACGCAGGCCTCTCACCGCCGTGGCCTCTCCCGTCGCGGAGCACAGGCTCCGGACGCGCAGGCCCAGCGGCCATGGCTCATGGGCCCAGCCGCCCCGTGGCACGTGGGATCTTCCCGGACCAGGGCACGAACCCGTGCCCCCTGCATCGGAAGGCAGACTCTTAACCACTGCGCCACCAGGGAAGCCCTGCTGCGCCTGTTTTTGAAAGGCCTTCCCCCCTCCCCTCCGGCCCTCTGCCCTCCAGCCTCCCACATCCTGACCCTCTCCACAGCGTCCACATCCCCTCACCTGCTCAGTTCAAAGCCCTCCCTCCGGCCTGCACCCTCCCACAGCCCTCTGTACCTGTTTGCTTCATGGCCCTGGCCCTCTTAACCCATATCGTGTTTATTTGTGTTTATCTTACCTCTTCCAAGGGCAGGCATTCTGTCAGCTTCCTCTCGGTATTTTCCACGATGCCTAGTGTGGTACTTTGCAGATAGTAGGTGCTTGGTAAATATTTGAATGAATGAATGCACTCTTGTAACCTGCACAAGCAAGTACTCCTCGGATCACAGAACTGTGTTTTCCTCACTGTGGCTTCGGGTGCCTGAGACTTCTCTTCCTGCATCGAGCGTACGCTTCCCGAGGGCCCCCTCCCTCGGCGCAGGCGTCGTGCCCATAGCGGTTACCCCATTAAAACTCTCTGATTGATTCACGATCTACAGGAACGCCGCCACTCTCTGGAGAACAAGGTAAAGAGGCTAGAGACCATGGAGCGTAGAGAAAACAGACTGAAGGATGACATCCAGACAAAGTCCCAACAGATCCAGCAGATGGCTGATAAAATTCTGGTGAGCAGGAACCAAAGCTGACAAGTTCAAAGATAACAGGTTAGAGGTTGTAGAGGGAAGGGGGTCAAAAGAAGAACCAGCCACCGTCACAGGGGAGGTTATCGCCAAGTAGGTGAATTAAGAGGAAGTGGTTTTAGTGGACACCACGTCAGAGACTAGCACGAATAACCACAGGCTGGACATTTCAGCATTGGTAACAGATCCATCAGTATGATTTTTTTTTGCTCTGTTTGCTACTGCCTGACTTTTAAAAACGCGAACGTGCACACGCTGTCATTTCTGATACATTTTTATAGGAGCATTTACGTACTTCTATCAGCAGAGTTTTGTATGGCCATTAAAGTTGCAAATGCCCGTTTGAAAAAGGTGTAGGGATTCAGGGCTTTAAGACCGACACCCAGATTCTTGGTTTTGCAGAGGAAAGAAATTAGTCATGCAGATTTTTTCAGAGTAGCATTTGTCATAGATCCGTGTTCACCCACTCACTTTCTCTGCTCCAGTTGGTGCTTAATATTGTTGTTATTTTCACTTTCCTTAGAGGTAGCAGATCGTTTTTTTTAGGTTTGTAACCACGATGATTTTGTTTTCGGCTCCGACGACCAAATTAACTTGATCAAGGAAGGCTTGGGTGATGCTTGCCGACGTGTCAAAGTTTTGCTCTTGCCAGGGTGAAAGGCAGGTGAACCTTTAAAGGACTCTCCTTGGATTTCAGTCCCCAAACCAAGAATTTGATGCCACTTTGGGGAGCCTGTTTGTAGCCCTTTCCTCCCTGCCCCGAGGACTGACTCTGGAGTAGTCGGGCATTCCTCTGCACCAGAAAGAGACAAGGTGGTGAGCGGGGTGCTTCCCACCTCCCTCCCTCTGTCTCTCCCTCTGCATCACTTCTGGGAAACGAGTCACCAGCAACTATATGAACTCAAGAATGACCGACTTATAGGCGTATATACTTAATACCAAAAAGAAAAAGAAAACCCAACCCTTCAAAACGTTACATTTCTGTTTGTCTATATTCATGAGTCGTGTGGGCACTCTTGAACACACAGGTGAAAAGAGAAACCGGTTAAATTATTTTGCTCTGACACACAGTCTTTATAGATAACATCTACACACAAAAGCAAATGTGATTGTCAGTCTATCCTTTCTGTTCTCTTGTTCCATCATCCAAGTATCTCTTGGCGATTGTCAAATGTGTGAATTTTACTGTGAGTCAAATGAATTCCCACCGAGATTCCACCACCGCTACCCCCTTGCTTGGTGCAAACGACGTGGTTAAGTCTTGTGGTTGCAAAGTGTTTCTCTGTTTAATGGTGATGTGTTCATTCATTCATTCAACAAATATTTAATGAGCTTCTACTATGTGCCAGGCACTGTTCTAGGAGCTGGGAATAGAGCAGCGAACAGTACTGTTTGCATAACAGGACTGAAGAATCTGATCCAACACATGTAGAGGAGATAACGTTTTAAAAAATGACAACAACAACAAAAAATGCCAAACTGTCAAGAAGTCAGGTTTTAGAATGTCCGCTTTTCCAAGGTTCACTTGCCAATTAAAATGTGGGAGTGTAGAGTTCTGCATTCCTGGATTATATGTTGTAAACTCCCATGCATAAGTAGACCGGAAGTTTGGTCTTAAGGTTGTCAGTCCCAGGTATCTGAGTTTTCGACCTGTTTTCAGATTGATTTCCATTCCTGTGCTATCTTAGGAGGACTGAAACTAAGACAAGACGATTATCAAGTGATTTCTAAAATAAAGAAAACGTAGGCAGATTTCTTTTTCCAAGTGTATCTTGCCACCTGTCCGAGTACCTTTGTGGTTGTGACTTCATTTATCGGAAGGTGCCTTTTGCTCAAGAACCTGGTGCTTAGGTTGTGACGTATCTGGGATATGGGCAAAGAGGGGTCCTTAATACTGTTACGTAATGATGATGCTTGGAAACACATCCCAAATATCATTTGCATTAAAATATTTGCTCTTCTGATAAGAACTTTCAAAACAGCTAATTGGGGTTCTCATTATAGCAGAGTCTTTTGCTTTAATAAAAGACCTCATTGCCAGGGACCCTTTAATATACATAAAGCCCTTAAAGTATGTTTTTATTACTAAAAATCCTGTTTACATTCAACTTTTCAAGATAACATCTGTTAGCTTGCAGTAGATCTTGTGCACCTGGTCTTAACATTGAATACTTTACTGGCCCCCAAAGCAAAGTCAAATGCTTGCAGACTTTAGAATTTCAAAAGCTTAATCAGTAACATTTCATGTGTGTGTGAATCCAAAATTATTCTTTTCTCCATTTTATGGGCATATCCTGTATAATTTCCTCGTTCTTCAAAATTCTCGTAATTATTTCCATTTCAAAGGAAAATTTCAAGATAGTGTGAAGAGATGAAAACTTGGAGTAATGACTTTTGATATTAGTAATTAACTAATGGGTCCAGATTCATAAGAATTAATGTAAACGCAGATAGCTTCATTTAGAGAATGTTTTGGTGAGTTGAATGCTGCCTTTTATACGATCAGTTTATAATACGTTGGCAAATGAATTGGTATAATTTCCAATTGAATTACAATTTTGTTTGAAAGCAGAAATCTTAATAAGAGAATGAAGAGGACATTACATTTGAGCTATTTATATTACTCCATGTTCTCTTCCTATCTTCAATGTATGTGTACACGTTTATGTCATTTTTAGTGAATTTTATGTTCTGCCTTGTTCCCATTAGCATTATATCATGTAAACTTCATATAAACATGATATCATATGAACACCTCCAGATATTCACATGCTCCATATTACCAGTCAGTTAAAATAATCATTCAAAACTCATAAAGTGTTTGAATTGTTATATTAGTTTTCCTTCTTAGCTAGGGTTCCTGAGCAATCATTTTGTTAATGAGGAAAATACAAAAAAATTTTTTATCCTCATAATAAATTAACTTAAAACTTAAACTGACATTACTTTCCTCATTTAAGGCCGTCAAGACAGTGGTCAGGGGCTTTGTGCTGTACTGAATTTTCAAATTGTGTTGCCTCGTCACTCTCATTTCTCTAGGCAGAGATGAAGAGCTGCCTTTGTTTGACCTGTCGCACTGACAGGTTTCTGATCCCAGCCCACCAGCCATGTGTTTATGTGTGTGAATACTCGGAGCTGGAAAACCCAGGGCCAAGGCTTGGTGGTGGTTTCCTTTCCCAAGAGCCTTAAGGGCTAGTCACGAAGAAACAGATGCCTGTTGCCTTTGGTGCCTGTGCCAAAGTGGTGTCTCCTGTGAACGTCTAACATGCATTGGCTCTGTCCTTCCCTCGCACACCTGACTGTCTGTTCTTTTGTGTCCAGGAACTGGAGGAGAAGCACCGAGAAGCCCAGGTCTCAGCCCAGCACCTGGAGGTGCACCTGAAACAGAAAGAACAGCACTACGAGGAAAAAATTAAAGTAAAGGCACTTTACAGTCTTCCCTGTCCTTCCTCCTATAGCACCATGTAGCTCCTTTCTCTTCCCAGGCACTTCGGGCCACTTCTTGCTGAAACAAAGGACTCTCCGTGGTAAATGCTGTCCTCAGGCCATGGTGGGAGGTCTTGGAGTGTTATCCTTGGGGCGGATTGGATATCAGAAGTTCGAAAATAGTTTATTATTTAAGAAAATTTTATCATCATGTGTCTCAATTCCATCTTTAAAATGTTTTTTGATCCACTGTCACTGAGTCCATGATAATTTAGATTTAGAGAGATTCACCATCTCCTTGCTTTTAATTTCCTTCTTGCATCTTAGACCTGGAATTCTTTTCCTTTTTTTATAAAGTATATCCTTGTGGACTTTCTTTAGTGAAGGTCTGCTGGTGCCAGGCTCTCTGTTTTGTGTGTCTGAAAATGTCTCTATTTCATCCTTGTTCTTGAAAGATGTTTTGACTGGGGATAGAATTCTAGGTTGGCAGTTATTTCTTTCAATACTTTTTGAAGATATCATTCCATTGACGTTTGGCTTTTATTATTGCAGTTGACGGTCAGCTGTCAGTCTAACAGTTGCTTTCTTTGAAAGTAGTCTTTCTTTTTTCTTGTAAAACTTTGTTTTATCTTTAATTTTCTGAAGTTTTACTGTGATGTGTCTAGATGTGGAGTTATATTTATTTATCCTCCTTGAGATATACTGGACTTTGGAATATATGTATATATTTTTAAAAATCAATTCTGTAAAATTATTGGTTGTTATATCTCAAGTATTGTCTCTTCCCCTTCTCTCTTTACTTCCCTTATGAGAATTTGATTAGACATGTGTTAGATTACCACCAATCTTTTTTTTTTTTTTTTTTTTGTATTTTCCATTTCCTTGTCTTTTGGTGCTACATTCTGGTTAAGCTCTGACTGATTTTCCAGTGTACTAATCCTTACCTGTCTAATTTGCTGTTAAACCCATCCATTGAGGTATTTTAAAATTAATTAATTAATTTTTGGCTGTGTTGGGTCTTTGTTGCTGCACATGGGCTTCTCTCGAGTTGTGGCGAGCGGGCTTCTCATTGCAGTGGCTTCTCTTGTTGTGGAGCACAGGCTCTAGGCACACGGTCTTCAGTAGTTGTGGCTCGCAGGCTCTAGAGTGCAGGCTCAGTAGTTGTGGTGCACAGGCTTAGTTGCTCCGTGACATGTGGGATCTTGCCAGACCAGGGCTCGAACCCGTGTCTCCTGCATTGGCAGGTAGATTCTTAACCACTGTGCCACCAGGGAAGTCCCCATCCATTGAGTTTTAAATTTCAGTTATTGTATCTATTTGTTTCTTGACATTCTGTTTAGTTCTTCCCCAAGTTTACTAGATTATTTAAGTCAGTAACTTTCTGTTTCCTGCATTGATTTGAAGCTTATCTTCTGCTTCTTTAAACGCATTAGCTTAGTTGTTTTATGATCTGTATCTGATGATTCCAGTATCTGAAGGTCTGTTTCTGCTCTGTTGTTTCTCTTGGCTCTTTTCCATGGTGTCTCTCTTTTTCGTGTGCCTGGTCAGCTGCTCGTTTTCCTTGGAAAATTAATAATGAGAATTCTTTGAGGCCTTGAATGAAAATGTGTGCCCACCTTGTGTGTGGCTCTGGGCTTTGACTTCTTTGCCTTCTTACCCTTTGAGGCAATTAAAAATGAAGCTCAAGTTTATCTGGTTCAGCAAATGCCTCAAGTTCAAAATAGCTGGGTTTTTGCTTTCACTTAGATTTTAGTCTGTAATTTCTTACTCTCTTGCCAACTTTTAGGTGTTTTTGGGAAAATGTTTTCCATATTCTATCTAGCATTTTAAATCATTTTTCATAGAAGAACTGGCCTAAATAGTCCAGCCTATCATATAAAATAATAAATGCAATTATTATTTTACTTACTGAAGTTATTATTTCAATTCAATTATTAATAAGTTCATTGATCAGAAATGACTGCCAGCCTATGTACTTCCTTTTGAAATCACATCACATTTTCATTATGATTTTGGACTGAGCCTTTAACTAATTCTTACGTTATTGAGAATCAGATATTGTTCATTACCATCTCAAATATTGTCTCTTACCCTTCCAAGTCAGACAGTGAAGGAGGCTTTTAATTTTTGTGATGGTCATGTTATTGATTTGGTTGGTATTCGCAAAGAGCTGGCTGTTCCTTTTCTGGAGAACCACACATGTACATGCTCACACAGCATCTTCACCATCACTACCCTGACACTTTCTTTCTTTTACCCCTCGTGCTACTTTTGGTTATTTTTCATTGAAAGAAATACCAGGAAAATAACCCAGAAGGGACCACACTGTGTTTTAGTGTGACCCTCTACTTTAGTGCATTTATCTACCAGTCCTTTTTGGTGTCCAGACTTTTATCCTTGAGATAAACTGAATTTCAGAAAATTATGAGAATGTATACAGTAGTCCACTGGTCTCTTTGCATGATGAAAATAACCTTTGCAAATTCATTCTGTAATTTGGGTCAGTATATTGACTTTTCTGTCAAAAAGCCATGTTCTATCGATACCTTCAATTGATATAAATGTCTACAGTGGAATCTCTCATTTCAAACAAATTCCTTGCTTCCCTCCCATGCATCTTCTTGTTCATCCTCCTGTCAGTTTAACCCACTCAAAGCCGGGGTGTGTACATCCTTGAGAAAGGCTTGTTCCTTGTGGCTCACACTTACCTATGTTGCCAAAGTGGAGGTCTTAGTTTGAGCAGAGTCATCCTGGAAATGTGCTTCATTGCTTTAGCACTGCATAAAAAAAGAGCATTCCTGGTCTAGACATTATGTGGTCTCTGCTACCTTCTAGATGGCAAGCACTTGGCTTTATAGATCCTAGGAAAGATCTGTTTTCTTCTGTCTTCCCTCCTGGCATCTTTATGAAACCATTTCTTTTTAGTCTGCTCTGCTTTGTGTTCCTATTCCGTCCCCTGTGAGGCCATTTTGGTAATAATTGTGATCATACCCCAGATTCTGTCCTTTTCTTGTTCATAATTTTAGAATCGTGCCCTGACGTCCAGGAGAGCAGGCCACTTACCCTCTTGAGGTTCATCCCTTCTCCCATGACCCCGTCCTCCACCTCTTATTCTTCTCTGCCAACTCTCACTCTCTTTTTTTCATCAGTCAGTTCTAGTTTAAAGCCCTCTTTGAAATCTGTTCTTTCCTTTCTTTTATCATGTGGACCCCCTCCCTGTTCATTGGCTCTTTTCAGGGACTGTGTCCCCATGAGCTATGAAGGACCCATCACAATAGATAATGTGGGAAAGGCAGATTTCAGTTCCCATCTGTGACCCCAATTCTTTGGGCTTTCTTCCCAGTATCAGATGCAGTCACCATCATTCAGAGAAGCACAGTCATGAGAAACACAGGGTCGTGGTCAAAGGCTTGTCAAGTTATGATGTTGCCTTCCTTTTCTCCTCTCTTTTTCACCAGTTGTTCTGGCAGCTGGTGGGGCTGTGTGTGTCCCTCGCAGAACATTAGATCAAGCTGGTGGATGGTGACACCATTACTGTTTTATTTTTTCCTCTTGGGAACAGTAGGTGCTTACAGTGGCATTCTCAGCACTGAGAACACATGATTTCTCTTCCCCTGGGAAAGATTTCTCTTTCCAGTGACTTTTTATTTTCACCCCCAGCTGGATCAGAGGAAAGAACGGAGGAAAGAGGCTTTTTTTTTTTTTCCCCCTTTCCTTTATGCTGTCTCTTCAGTCTATTGACTCCCCACCTACTTTATCGGGGGCAGAATCCACTCGTCCCTGGCTGTTTCTGAACGTCAGCCTTGGTCACACAGACTTCCTCGGTCTTCAGCTTTCCATCCCTCCACACACAGCCTGGAGGTAACGAGATTAATTTTGTACAAATTAAGAGCAAGCAGTGTTCTGAAAACTACTGGCGCATTGACTACGATAACAGTGCCCCTAGGTAATAGCTGCAAATCGTAAGATCTCTAGAGAGATCTTTTTTTTCCCCTCTCATTCTGGAGTCCACCTCCCCTTTGGCTATACCTCTCAGGTCATTTTGGCTGCTGATTTAAAAATAAGTTCTTAGTTCACATCCTCTGGTTACTTGCCATTTGTTGGTCATACTTCTGAACCTCATCCTGACTGATAGACAGACCCCCGCTCCCTCGCTCTGCCCCGGAGTTGGGGCAGCGTGGCTTCTCCACTGCTTTTCCCCTCCTTTCCTGTGTTTCTCCAGTGCCTCTGGTTAGTCTGCCAGACACTAACTTCTCCTTTTGTTTTTCCTCAGGTGTTGGACAATCAGATAAAGAAAGACCTAGCCGACAAGGAGACTTTGGAGAATCTGATGCAGAGACACGAAGAGGAGGCCCACGAGAAAGGCAAGATTCTCAGCGAGCAGAAGGCGGTAGGTAGACAGAATTACAAAGCCGGTTTCCAAGGGAGGGTGTGTGAACCACGCCAGGAGTCCCCCACCGGAGAACAGTCCATTTGGTCTGTTTTATCCCGTGGAGTCTGCTGCTAACAGAAAGTTCTGCAACCCCTTCTCGTAAAAGCAGCGGCAGTGGTGGCTCAGGGTGGCCAGTTTTGCCCTTCAGGCCCTTCTTTAAGAACTCACGCTGACCTGCGTCAACTAGAACCCTGTCTTTCAGCACACCAACCCCCCGCCACCTCCCCGACGAAGTGCCCGGTGTCCTGTGGCCTCCCTTAGGCATCTCGTTTTCTTTCAAATCTGTATAGGCAGATGTTTCAGAAACTTGCGGCTTAAGAGTTTCCCCTGTTGTGCTTGTTAATCTACTTATTATCTCAGACCCTACTGATACTTTTCACAACAGAATCTCTAAAGGAGGGTCCTGGGAAGTAATATTTTTAACCAGCCCCCTGCCCCCCCCCCCGCCCCCCCTGTCCCTTTCCTGCCCTGGCCAATTCTTATGATTCATTAAGTTGGGGAAGCTTTGATGCAGAGAATCTAGGACAGTAGGGGCTGGGTGAGAAGGAATCACCCAGAGAATGACAAGCTCGTGGGTGATGAGAAATAGGAACTTGCAGATGCAAGTTTAGAGGCTGTGGCAGGCTCAGGGCGCATGTGGACGACACAGGGATTTCACGAGGCCTGTCAACTCACGGAATGCCAGGTTCCTCAAGAGGTCCTCCCGCGTGTGCTTACTGCAGGCCCCTTAGCTAGTGAGGGGATATGCAGTCTCTGTTTGATAAAACAAGTGAGTGCCATCGTTGGAGCAGTGAGATCTACGCTCCTCAGGGTACAGGCTAGTTGAGTCTCTGGTCTGATGACCTGCCTTTCAGATGGCACTTTTCCTCACTTATGTGGCCCACTTCCCTCTCATTCCGGTGTTACCGTCTGTGTGTGAGGTTCCAAAGATCCCCCGTGTTTCAGATGATCAACGCCATGGATTCCAAGATCAGATCCCTGGAACAGAGGATAGTGGAATTGTCGGAAGCCAATAAACTTGCGGCAAACAGCAGTCTCTTTACCCAGAGGAACATGTAAGTGTTCAGATTCTAACTGTGTGCTTGATTCCGCTTTGATCTTCTCTCCTGGGCACAAACTCTGTTCTTCTGTCGGCGGAGCAGGAGTGGATTTAACGACTCCTGTGGCAGGGCCCAGCCTCCATATACTTAGGTCATTTTGCCCTCTCTGAAGTGGTCTCACTCTACCTGCCCTCTCTTTTGAGCTGCGTTTTCTTACATGCTTCAAGTTACCATCCCATCACAGAGTGTTTTGCTCTCTCTAATGAGGTAATTTACAGTTTGCTTCTGGAGACCTCGTTCCCCAGACTCACCTCCTGTAACCAGCCAGAGGTGATCTCGGGTGTGCCCAACTGGGCCATCCATTTCGCTGTTGTGAAGTTGGGCCCTTGGCGGTGAGTTTTGGGGTTCAGCAAGGACTCTCCTGTGTTCCGGGAGCACTTTGATCTTAATCTTTTCCCCCGAAGAATTACAATCTCCTTAAGAGACCTTAAACATTCCCATCTTAGTTTAAACCAGCTTGGTAGGCCACTGTCCGATCTTTGAGTCATTCCAGCTTCTGAGCGGCCTGGTGAAGAGGTGAGCAAGGTCAACAGAGAAGTAGAAGGAGTAGCATTCTTTCTCCTCACCGCCCTCTCTTCCCCAGGGCCTGCCTTAGTGAGTCGTCAGGTGCTCCTGTACTCCCAGGAGGCCCTTTCTGCTCTCCTCTACAGACTGGAAAAATAAAAAGGTCTACCAAAGGAGTGAAATGATAGTATCTCTTGCATCCCCCTTGACCATACTGAATCCCGTTGACGAGGGACTCTGAGCGGTGGGGACTAAGCGGGCCCCAGGTCCCCATGCTGGGGCCATGCACACGAGGCCAGGTCAGGGCGGCGCTAACCTGGGAACGAGTGTGGTCCACTTGCTCAGATGCACCTCTTGCTCCGCTTCTGCCCGTCCTTCTGCGGGGGCATGCTCACCTCTCACGAGACTGTGATTTTGCTTGGCTCCTCCCACCACCCCCACCAGGAAGGCCCAGGAAGAAATGATTTCAGAACTCAGGCAGCAGAAGTTTTACCTGGAGACACAGGCTGGGAAACTGGAGGCCCAGAACCGGAAGCTGGAGGAGCAGCTGGAAAAAATCAGCCACCAAGACCACAGCGACAAGAATCGTCTGCTGGAGCTGGAGACCAGGCTAAGGGAGGTGAGAGTGAGGGGTGATCTCCCGAGGCTATTTGTTGGAGGACCCAGGGGCCCCCAATCATCCAAGTGTCAAGCACAAATCAGTACTTACATGAGAGCCATTGTGTGTGGTGGTGAAGAGTGCAGACAGGGCCATGGGGGTCTGTGTTAGAATCCCACTTCCCCTTTTTAGGAGTTTGGTAACCTCGGGTCGGGCAGGCTACCCTAACACCTCTGTACTTGAGTTTCCTCATCTGTAAAACGGCCATGAAAACGTATCTCCGTCATGGGGTCACGTGAGGATGACGTAAATTGGTGCATCTTCAAATGGGGGCAAAGTGATCCCTCCTGTATCCTGATTCATCGAGGGTCACGTGACTGTGTCCATGCACAGAGTTTAGCACATAGTACAGCTTAATGACAGTGACAGAGGCCCCCCCCACCCCCACCCCATGACAGTGGGAGACTAAAAGAGAAATCTAAACTTCAGGGCTGTCTGATGGAAGGTGATTTGCTTCAGAGGTATTGGGTTGGCCAAAAAGTTCGTTTGGGCTTTTACATAAGATGGAAAAACCCGAATGAACTTTTTGGCCAACCCAATATAAGGAAGCTGGGAAGGACAGCCAGGTTTGGGGCAGGAAATACCACACATTTGGTTGTGAACCTTTTGAGGTTGACTGAAGCTGTGACTTGACATGGCTCACTGTGTATTTATCAAACGCCTGCTGTGTGCTAATTAGTAGCCAGATAGACAGTGGTGACAAGACAGACCCATCCCTGATCTCAGGGGCTGTCAGCCTAGCAGATGGGTTTAGCTGGCACTGGCAGAGGCAGGACCGGAGTTCAGGAGGGTGGTCCTTGGAAGTGGGACATCCCGGCTGGGCGTAGAGACACTGGGCTCAAATATTTGTGATGGAATTCTTCAAAGCAGAGATGATCTCTCTTAAGGCAAAGACCATTAAGCAGACAGTCTTTAGTTAAGGACCAAACCTTGAATTCTGACGCTTAAGAATGTCTTCATTTGTACTGGAGTATTAAAATGAGGCCACTTCTCCCAAGGGCAGGAGTTGTCAAGGTGTGGACCCCTCTCTGTTAGGACCACATGGCCTGTGTGTTGAAATGCAGATTCCTGGGTGGCTTCCTCCCTCAGCTTTTTGAATGGAATCGGGGTGGGGTGGGGGTGAGGAACAGGGATTTGCATTTTTAACCAGTGCCCTGGGTGATGCTTATGCTTCCGGAGTTTGAGGGCCATCGTTCTAGGTTATCCAGAAGCCTTAGGCAGCGGTTTTACTTTTCTAATCCAGGCGATATTTTTACTCTTCAGTAAGTTTAACCACACTTCCCCGTAGTGTCAGCCTTAGGACTGTGAGTGTAAATAACTCGGATAGATTTCTCTGAGCGTGGGAACGCTGGCTGGCTGTCTTTTGCTTTCCCTTCCCACAAATGTCTCTCTTGTGTGTCTGCCCTGCAGCTGTAGCTCGTCTGGGCATTAACCTGCCCCAGGGAAGGCGTGGTGCTTTGTTCTCCAGTCAGTATAGCCAGCCCCACAGGGGCGGTGGGAGAAATTTAGGATGCTTCCTGAGGGGCTCAGGGCTGTATATGCTCCAGGGGAGTCTGGAGTTTAGCTTTATTTATTTATTTATTTTCAAATTTTTATGGGAGTATAGTTGATTTACAATGCTGTGTTAGTTTCTGCTGTACAGCAAAGTGAACGAGTTATACATACATGTATAGCTACTCTTTTTTAGATTCTTTTCCCATACAGGTTATTACAGAGTATTGAGTAGAGTTCCCTGTGCTCTATAGTAGGTCCTTATTAGTTATCTATTTTATGTGTAGTAGTGTGTATATGTCAGTCCCGAATCTCCCAATTTATCCCTCTCCCCCTTTCCCCCTCCCCAGTAACCATAAGTTTGTTTTCTACATCTGTGAGTCTATTTCTGTTTTGTAAATAAGTTCATTTGTACCATTCTTTTTAGATTCCACATATAAGTGATATCATATGATATTTGCCTTTCTCTGACTTACTTCACTAGTATGACAATCTCTAGGTCTATCCATGTTGCTGAAAAATGACATTATTTTGTTCTTTTTTGTGGCTGAGTAATATTCCATTGTATGCATGTACCACATCTTCTTTATCCAGTCCTCTGTCGATGGGCATTTAGGTTGCTTCCGTGTCCTGGCTATTGTAAATAGTGTCGCAATGAATATTGGGGTGCATGTGTCTTTCCGAATTATGGTTTTCTCCAGGTATATGCCCAGGAGTGGGATTGCTGGATCACATGGTAGCTCTATTTTTAGTTTTTTAAGGAACCTCCATACTGTTCTCCATAATGGCTGCACCAATTTACATTCCCACCAGCAGTGCAGGAGGGTTCCCTTTTCTCCACACCCTCCCCAGCAGTTATTGTTTGTAGATTTTTTTGATGGTGGCCATTCTCACCCATATGAGGTGATACCTCACTGTAGTTTTTTTTTTTTTTTTTGCGGTACGCGGGCCTCTCACTGCTGTGGCCTCTCCCGTTGCGGAGCACAGGCTCCAGACGCGCAGGCCCAGCGGCCATGGCTCATGGGCCCAGTCGCTCCGCGGCACGGGGGATCCTCCCGGACCGGGGCACAAACCCGTGTCCCCGGCATTGGCAGGCGGACTCCCAACCACTGCACCACCAGGGAAACCCCTCACTGTAGTTTTGATTTGCATTTTTCTAATAATTAGCCATGTTGAGCATCTTTTCATCTGCATTTTGGCCATCTTTGGAGAAATGTCTATTTAGATCTTCTGCCCATTGTTTGATTGGGTTGATTGTTTTTCTGATGTTGAGCTGCATGAGCTGTTTGTATATTTTGGAGATTAGTCCCTTGTCGGTCACTTTGTTTGCACATATTTTCTCCTGGAGTTTAGCTTTAAATCTAGCCAGGCGGTCCGCCTTCTCTTTGCCACCTGCTGCCATTGAGATTGCGGGTAGAGGCCTCTGCCTCGGGTTTGACCCACCTGCAAGGGTCCTGGGCGTCCTTCTCCCCAGCCCATGGGTGCAGTGTTAGCAGTTTTCCAGCAGTGTGTGTGGCGCAGGGCCCCTGGGTTCTCCCTGCATCGGGCAGCATTCTGCTCCCCAGCTTCCTCCTGAAGTGTGACAGTGATGTCACCGGCCGCTCATGGTTTTGCCAAGTGGCCTTGGGAGTTTTCAGGCATGCTAGCAGAGTCGCAGCCTCCTCCGACTGCTGGCCTTTTAATAAGACCAACAGTAAGTAGTTAGCCCTGCCACTTTTTAGCTGTGTGACATCTTCTCAGTTCCTGAATCTCTTGGGGCCACAGTTTGCTTGTCTGTAAAATAGAGGTCATAGTCATACCATACTTGTTGGGTTGTTAGGAAGATGAAATGGGTGAAGACAGTGCCTGGCACGCTGTACATGGGTACTGCACCTGCTGCTGTCACATCATCGTTGTCGCCACCACCGCAGCCATTGTCCTCCTTGTCATCCTCACTAGAGAGAGATCATAGCCTTGGCTTCGGCTGCCGTGGACTTGTTAAGGGCTCCCGGATCCAGCCGACCCGCCCAGACCTGTCTCTTGAGTTTCTGACCTGTTGTCCCAGTAGACATTGGACACCTCCACTCAGATGTCTCCCTTGCAGCTCACGTTCAACGTGTCAAGAGTGAATTTCTTACACTTCTCCTCAGATTGGCCCTTCCTCTCCTGTCCCCTGACGTGGCCAGTGGTCTCACTGTCTGTGTAATTCAGATGCCCAGCAATGTAGGTGTCACATTTGCCTCCTCTCTGTCCTTTGTTCTCTGTCCCACTCTGAGTTAACCACTACATCCTGTTGGTTCTCTAGGCTGAATCTTTTAAAGTCTTTCTCCTCTTCATGCCTATGGCCTTTGGGACTTGGTTGTCACCTTTTCCAGGGAGCCTTCTCCATCCCCTTGGAGCTGGATGGGATGTCTCCTTTGGGTCCCCGTGGCCTTTCATGTTTAGCTTGTACCCTTTCGCTTTCAGTGGGTTCTCCAAGGGCAGCAAGCATCTCTTATTTGCTTGGCATCCCCATGTCTGACACAGGGTCTGGTCCCTAGGACAGCTTGTCAGTGTTGGTGACGTCAGCAGATGTGCCAGTGTCTCCCACATCTCCATGCCTTGGACGTCTTGCTTCCTCTGCTTGGAATTTTCTTTCCCTTCTTAGCTGCTTGTTTGGCTCCTGGATTCTTCAACACAGAGATCCCCAGTCACCGCCTCTCCCTCTCTGCTGTGTTCCTATCACATCCCTGCATCTCCTGACCATTGCACTCGACCACAATGTATGGCAATGGTTGGTTTTTATTTTTCTCCCCAACTTGAAGGCAAGAGACTGTTTTTCATCTCACAATGTATGGCAATGGTTGGTTTTTATTTTTCTTCCCAACTTGAAGGCAGAGACTGTTTTTCATCTCCGTATTTCCTTTTACATAGAATTTGCCAAGTAAATTTTCTTTTTTCTTTTTTTTATGTTAATAGTGACTACCTTTAATATTTATTTATTTATTCATTATTTATTTATTTATTTTGGCTGTGCCGGGTCTTAGTTGCAGCATGCGGGATCTTCACTTGCAGCATTCGGACTTCTTAGTTGTGGCATATGGATTCTTAGTTGTGGTGTGCATGCGAGATCTAGTTCCCCGACCAGGGATTTGAACCCGGGCCCCCTGTATTGGGAGCATGGAGTCTTACCCACTGGACCACCAGGGAAGTCCCAAGTAAATTTTTCTTGAATGGACGAAAGGTTGAGTAGATAGATGGATAGATGGGCAGATGGAGGGAAGAATGATTAGTACACAATATGACCTTCATTTGGGTTACCTAATCAGAACAAATCAGAGCAGAAATATTTAAAATAAGTAGAATTCAGTCTGTTGTTCCACTTGTACTCCCATTCTAAAGGTGTCCTTGTTACTAATACAATGTTATTTATATCTGTTTACTTTTAAACGTTTTTCTCATAAGAACAACCATCGTCATTTTCATAGAGGATTCTTGCTGTGTGGTTTTTTTTTTTTAGAAGCTTTCCCAAGCATTCGAATATATGAAAGGAAGGGATGGTTTGTATTGATAAAATACGTTGTATATACTCTTATGCGTTCTCACTCCTGTTGATTTTTGAGACTTATCGAAGTCAGAGCTGTTTTGTTGCATTTTTTTTCCTTCTCGGTTGAGTGCTGAGAATTTGATTCCATGACCAAATTTAAGATGCAGATTGCACGGCAGGTTGTGTCTTGGCTTTCTCTTCAGTTAAGGTCAATGAGCATCTCTCTCTCTGTCTCAGGTCAGTCTAGAGCATGAAGAGCAGAAACTGGAGCTCAAGCGCCAGCTCACGGAGCTGCAGCTCTCTCTGCAGGAGCGTGAGTCTCAGCTGACAGCCCTGCAGGCAGCCCGGGCAGCTCTGGAGAGCCAGCTCCGCCAGGCAAAGACGGAGCTGGAAGAGACAACAGCAGAAGCAGAAGAAGAGATCCAGGCGCTCACGGTAGGATGAGTGTGGAGCTGAGGATATTTGCTCACCCTTAGAAATGCCAAGAGAGAAAAAGTAAACCAGAGAGATGCTTAATGGGCAGAAAATTGGCTTATGTAGGCTGCTTCCTCTTTGGAATTAGTAAACTAGATCAACTGGGCAATATCTGAGCTCTCCTAAGGATCTTGAAAAGTTCCTCCTTTATTTATGCATTTCCCTCTTTTTAAAATAATCATCACTATATTTTAAATTTTAGCTTAACCAAAGTCTGTTTACTTGGGTCTTCTACTTTAGTTTTCAATAAACATTAAAATAATAATAATCTTATATCTTACAGTAGTCTTTCTACCATATTTTTGTTTTGGTTTTGGTTAACCTCATTTGTGTTCCTTTTTTTTTTTTTCAAGCTGTAGATTCTGTTTCGAGTCCTTATAGTATGCATTTGGTAGGTTCTGGATGGAAATGATTCTAATGAATGAGAGATTGTTTCTCTAAAAGGGACCTGGCTTCCCTGCTCTTTCTGAGAGACTGGTTTGCTCACATGAAGAGTGTTCTCAGGAGGTATATTGTTGGTGGGCGGCCCCTGGATTTAGACCTTAGTTCTTTCTGCAAGTCTCAAAATGTGACTTCGTTGGCCAGTCTCCCACAGTTGATCCTTCTCACACAGACTGACCCAGGCTAACAAAGCGGACAGAATTTTACACGTAAAAATGCCAATTTACCAGCTTTACAGAGGGAAATACAACCGCCAAGTTGGCCAGGATAATCTTCACATTCTTCCCCTTCAGAGAACTCTACCTGTAAATCCCATTTCTCTTGGAAGGCTGCTTGGTGGACCTGGACTCTGGGCATAGAGAGCTGAATGAGTTTAATGGCTGGTATCAACCAAGTGCATACATTTCTCATGGTAACATACTGTGCTTGCCAAGCGGACGGGCACACTCATGCCTGCTGGTCAGGGTACCCCCTTCTGTGGGCAGGGCACAATGCAGCTGATGTTCAGAGTCTTTTTCAGTAAGGTACCAAATGGGTATCTTATTCATTCTGATTCATTTTGGATCCTGTCCCCATCTCCATCAGCAAACACCTGTAAACATCTCTTAGAGTAGGGTTACTTCTGCAGATGATCATGCACTTTTGTTGCTTATGATTTACCCTGTTTAAAACTAATACGTGTGTGTATGTATATATACATACATGTATATATGTATATATATAAAATATATATATATTTTTAAACTGATTTCCTTCTTAGAAGTTAGCCTTTTCTCCTCAGGGCACTGGCCTGTAATCCCTCAAATCCTGTTACCCTGGAGTGGAGGAGAAAGAAACACTTGCCTCTCTACTCTGCTGGGATTGGGAGGGAGGCGGTGGTCACGCATCTTACCCTGCCCGTTTGGAAGGAGGAGGGTATACAGTAGAGCTTGTGTCACTGCTGTTTATCTGTGGGGAAGTTAGTCTTTCAGTCCTGTCTTGCTGCTGGTTGGAATGTGCTGTGTCTAATGGCTGCTGGACGCCTGCACGGCAGCAAGTCACGACTTAATTTAGTCAGATGAGATCACTGCCTCAGAGCATCTTAAAAAAAAAAAAAGAAAGAAAGAAAGAAACAAACCTCCCTAGGTCTGGAAGCTAGGGCTCTATGACTCTCACAGATGAGGATCCCTTGGAAAATAGGGCTTGTTCACAATGATGACAGGAAAGTGCCTTTGGTCAAACAGCTGTTTGTAAGCCCATCATGCAGGAATCCAAACCTCACATCAATTTGCCTCAGTTCAGTTTGAAGGCTGTGGGTTTTTCCTCTCCCCTCCTCTTGATTATGTCCCATAAATCTGCTCATGGACCACAGGTGGCTGTTGCCTGAATGGCTTTGTTGAATTTGTTCTGAAGAATGTAGTTTCTGAGAGAGAGAGAGAGAGAAAATGGTCACAGATGCAGTACCCTGACTCTCCCTCTCTCATTGTTCTGGTCCAAGTTCAGACCCAATGTAAGCATCAATCAAATTCAATCAGCTCGATCTAAAATGATCTCGTAGGAGGCTTGTTTGCTTCATAGCAGGCTGTTTTATCAAGAAAAGGAAATAGTCAAATGGGCTATTATTGCTTTAATTCTAAGAGGTGGCCCACCTCCTCACCTGGGAGGGGAGCAGTTACCCTGTTTGGCTTCTGCCCCTGGGCCAAAAATAGATGGAGCACAGTTAAATGGAAGCTCTCCATTGAAGAAGTGTGGCAGAGGCCACCAGTTGCCATTGTTGGTCTTCCTCAGGCTTTCTTTTTTCCCACTCTCCCTTTACCCACCCGGTCAATTGCATTTGCATTGAAATTCACTGGCCATTAAAAGCTGAGATTGAGTCATGGTGGACAGCAACAAGAGAGTCAGATTTAAACAAAAAGCCATGCTTTTAAGATGCTTCAGTGCTTATTGGTGGAAGAGAGAATTTTCCACCTGGAATTGAAATTTATAACTCCATGTAGAGACTTCCCTGGCGGTCCAGTGGTTAAGAGTTCGCCTTCCAGCGCTGGGGGTGTGGGTTCAATCTCTGGTCGGGGAGCTAAGATCCCGCATGCCTTGGGGCCAAAAAACCAAAACATAAAACAGAAGCAGTATTGTAACAAATTCAATAAAGACTTTAAAAATGGTCCACATCAAAAAAGCTTAAAAAAAAAGACTCCGTGTAGTACCTTCTTCTGTGGAAGAGAATTTGAGCTTGCACACTTCATTGCATGCAGACGTGCGACGTGATGGGAGCGTTGCTCTGAATGGGGCCGCAGGGTAGAGGAACCGTGTGGGCTTGGTGCCCACCAGCATGGCCCCACGAACACGTTTCATGTCTCTGTCCTCAGGTTCTTTTACTGATTTTGTTAAATGACTAATGCTGAATAATCAAGTCAAAAGCTAGAGAGACTCGAGAAAGGGATTCTCCCAGCAGAGCGTGATGGTGGGATCCCAGAGTCATCCTCTTTGATTTGTTAAAATCATGAGTCAATGCATGCTCTCTTTTTCTCTTTTACATAACTATCAATTGTTGTATTGAATTAGTAACCCATCGGCATGATAGGCGAGATGTGAAATTGGGTCACTTAAGGTGACAGTGTTGCTTGGTGCCTGCCTTCCCAGGGAAAGGGGTGGATGCGTGGAAGCCTGTGTTCTAGGATCCTGACCGTGGATCCCAGAAGGCGGTCAGACACCTAAACACATGTTTCCTTTTCACAGTTCTACAGGTATTTTCTCTCATCAAGGTTGCATAATAATTCTCTTTTCTTCATTCCTCTTGTAACTTTCCTTAAAATTAAAGAAGATATAAGTACTCCCCAAAGTGAGTGCCTCTCTGGTTTCCAGGATGCAGCCTGTCCCTTCTGCCTCTTGCCACCCAACCCCTAGGTCAAAGTGGGGGGGGGGGGTGTCTGTGGCTCCATGGGGGGTCCCCAAGTTCAGGTTATTTTCATAATAATACTAAGCTGTCATGTGGCATTTTTCATTGTGTTAACATTTGCACCGATGGTGCAAAAGCAATACTTTTATTTAAAAAGAAATAATAAATATTTGAAAAAATCTAGTTTAACTTCTAATGTGGTTAATAGACATAGATATAACTCACATAAACAAAAGCCCTTTGGGGTCCTCAGTAATTTTTAAGAGGGTAAATATTTATTCCCTGTAGCTTCTAACACCTAATTAACACTCAGATATTTCATTGAGAGAATCCAAAGCTTGTCTTACATATTTTATTACCTTTATATATAATGTGACCTTTTGCTTTTTGTGCATTTGTTTTACAACTTATTTCAAAGGAACATAAAACACGTTTCTTGCCATTTTAAAGCTCAGATCAGTTCAATGATTCTTAGAGTACTTCCAGCAGTCACAACAGTCACAACTACATTTTGTGTTTATATTTCAGTCAATAATAAATCAAAAGCCATAATAATGGTAGTTCCTTACATTATACCTTCAAAGAGAAGTGTCATTTGATGTGTCAGAGTGATCCAAAGGCCTCATGATGGTAAATTATAATAGAAATATTCATGATTGAAATTTCAGGCTACTGTGGGGCAGTTAGGCAAGTTTCTACTGGTGTGGTGTTATTTGGAAACTTTGCTATTAGTCAGAAAGTGGAACAGGTCTTCTATCCCTCAGTCTAGGCCAGAAAGCTTTTTTATAATCATTGCTTAGGCTTTGAAGAAGTTAACTCCACCTTCAGCTTCCTGTTTCTGTCTGAGTAATTTCACACCAAATAGTCATTTAGAGTAGAGGTTGGCAAGCTATAGCCAGTGGGCCAAATTTAGCCTGCTTCCTGTAAATAAAGTTTTATTGACACACAGTCACACCCATTTGTGTACATATTGTCTGTGGGTGGTTTTGTGCTTTGAGGGCAGAGTTGAGTAGTTGTGACAGAGACTGAGTGGCCTTCAAAGCCAAAAATATTTACTATCTGATCCGTACAAGAAAAAAGTTGTT